TCCAGCCTATGACAGGCAAGTCTGCTTTGAAGGGTGTTAAAAACATTTAACCTTCATTTTGGTAACTTTGGTGATCATTGTATTTGAAATTGCGTTTTCACTTGATGCCTCAAGGGGGAGCACTGCAGCCTCAAACCTTCAGGGTCACAGATTTGATCTCCTCCCCTCAGTCTGTATGGGGTTTCCATAGCTGATAGCGTAATACAGTTCTGATTTATTGCATTCTTTATCAGCTCAGCTATTTGACAGTAGGTTTCATTTAAAGTGTGGTTCAGTCTTGCTAGAAGGGGCTTTTCCTTACAACGCTTGTGCGTTTCTGCCTCTCATGAAGTCATTATCAGAATCCCTTCGTTTTAAAAGTGACTGAAGCCGCCCCAAGAGCTGAGCTGGGACCCGGCCGGCTGGCGGTGCTGAGGCCCTCTTCGTGCCACACCACAGGAGATTAAGGCTGTCCTGGGTGAAGTATAGAGTGTCACGCTAAAAGGCATGCGGTATGGCATCATGTGGAAGACGTCAAACTCGCTCGTTTGTTTCTGCGGTGAGGAAGAGCAGAGGCAGACAGGCTGGGAGGTAGCACAGTATGACAGGGTACAGGGAACGCTTGTCTTTCAGCCGCGTAATGACAGGGTGTATCGCCTCTGAGTGGCGAGAACAAGCCTTGCAGTGTCAGAATTACTTGCTGGGCGGTGAGGACATGGTCCCACAGGTTGAGCTGGCTGAGGGAGCCCACAAATGACTCCACCGGGTTGAAACCCTTGCCCCTCTGGTCTTGGTCCTGGCCCAGCACCAGTGCCCCCCCACCTGCAGAGGAGAGACCAAATGATTCCCATGAGATCCCGGTAAGGCGCTCATAAGTCTGACCCAGAATCCCTGCTTTCATTGTCAGCGCTGACTACAAATAATCCCAGACTGGTAACACGTGACAAATATAGGGAAAGCTTCCCAACAGGACACTAATGAAATTAGCACAGTATAATAAAATAATGCAAGAAAATGAAATGAAACCTTCCAAAGTGAATGATTGACTCTGGGTTAATCACTCTGAGTTTAGCCCTCTTGGTTAATCAATCAAGGTTAATCCCTTGGGGTTAATCACTCTGGGTTAATCACTGTGTGTTTATCTCTCTGGTTTAATCTCTTCCCAACAGGGCACTAATTAAATTAGCACAGTATAATAATGTAAGGAAACAAGACCATCCAATGTCATTGATTGGCCGTGGGTTAATCGCTCTGGGACAGACTCTCTGGGTTAATCACTCTGAGTCATTCTCTCTGGGGAAATCACTCTGGGTCAGTCTCTCTGGGTCAGTCACTCTGGGTTAATCACTCCGGGTCAGTCCCTCTGGGTTAATCAGTCCGGGTCAGTCTCTCCGGATTAATCACTCTGGGTCAGTCACTCTGGCTTAATCACTCCGGGTCAGTCTCTCTGGGTTATTCACTCCGGGTCAGTCTCTCTGGATTAATCACTCCGGGTCAGTCACTCTGGGTTAATCACTCCAGGTCAGTCTCTCTGGGTTAATCACTCCAGGTCAGTCTCTCTGGATTAATCACTCCGGGTCAGTCTCTCTAGGTTAATCCCACTATGTTAATCATTCTGTGGCTTTATCACTCTGGGTTAATCACTCTCGGTCAGTCACTCGGGGTCAGTCACTCTGCATTAATCCCTCTGGGTTGATCACTCGGGGCCAGCCACTCTGGGTTAATCTTTCCAGGTTAATCCCTCTGGGTTTATTCCTCATTTGGTGTATCCCCTCATGCTTAGAGTACCGGCCCCGATGCTGATGTAACACCAACCTGGGATAGTGGCACCGACCGACAGGCCCTTCCCCCCGTCTGACAGGTTCCCGTCGATGTAGACCTTCCAGTCACCGTCCACACTGCGCCAGGACACGCCAATGTGATGCCAGTGTCCGTCGTTGACAGCTGGGCAGTCCGTGATGCGCTCCTTGCCGTTGATGTACAGAACCCAGCTGAACAGAAACCGCTGTCATTCAGAGGACCGGCTGACACTTATAACCAAACTTTCAAGCAAACCAGCATAAGTAGCACAAGCTGTGTAAGTGATCAGATTCCAGGTTAGAAGTTGTTCCTTAACTATCTTAACTTCCTTGTTGGGGACAAAGTCAAGATCCAGGAAGTAAAGTCAAGAAAAACAACTAAATTGTTAAAGAGGCAAACAGTGCTTGTTTACATCACTTATTTTATTTTCTATTTTTTCTATTATATTGTACCTCGGACATCAAAGTAAGAATTTCATTGCACAGAGAAATGTACTTTTCTACTGTACATATGACAATAAACGCTTTGAATCTTGAATCTTGAGTCTTTGAATCTTGAAACTGAACCTTATGGGGAGTTACTGTAGCAGACAGCCATTGAAGCCAGAGATGACTGGTTAACATTAAGATTCATACTATCACTATTCCATCTAGATGTGACAATGTTTTGGGGTGATTTGATGCGGAATTCCCCATTTTCGGGGACCGGGGGTTCACCCGTTATAGTCGGTCAGCAGGAAGGTGTTGTCGCTCCCGTCTTCCACAGCGTAGGAGATGGGTGTCCCATAGTTGGTGCTGTCCGATGACTTCATCCAGAAGATGCAGGTAATGGCCGTCAGGGGGGGCAGGACGCCATCCAGCAGGACATAACCATGGATACCAGACACCTCAAAGTCCAGGTTAAAGGAGGAGGACATTTCTGGGGGGGTGAAAGAGCCATATGCAAAAAGGGCAGAGGTAGTGACCTCAAAGCGAGTGACCTCAGAGTGAGTGACCTCAGAGCAGTGCTGAGCTGGATGGGGGATCGGAAATTAAGCAAAATTACGTAACTTTGAAGCTCATTCCTTTAAATATATATTTAAGCATCATATACTGTAAAGCCTCTCTACACAGGATAATACCTCCATCTAAAGAGGCTGTCCTATCACACTGACACATTATCCCTGCTCGGTCGCCCTGGAAACAGCAGGCCAATAGGGCTCCCCCCTGCTCTGTCGTCTATACCTGTCTCACACCTGCTTCCGTTGAACCCTGGGCGGCAGATGCAGCGGAAGGAGCCCGGGCTGTCCTGGCAGGTGGCCCCGTTCAGGCAGGGGCCTGGGGCACACTCGTCCACGTCCACCTGGCACAGCATGCCGGTGTAGCCGGCTGGGCATTCGCACCTGGGTTACACAGAGAGGGGGATTCTATGCAAAGAGACCTGACCGACCATCCATCCATCCATCCATTCATTCATCCATCCATCCATCCATCCATTCATCCATCCATCCATCCATTCATCCATATAACCATTTGCACCGATCAGAAATAGTCATTCAGAAACCTAGTGCTACTGACAGTTTTTACACATGGATATTTTAACTTTAGTGGTTAAAGGTCCATACATTTAACCCCTGAGCGAATAGCTGTATTGTGCAGCGCATGTAAAACTCCCCAGGCTTCATGGACACAGTGAATAATAAATGGTTATACAGGCAGTCCTGTATGGAATATGGCATCCCAGTTTGCAAATTACACTGGTTGGGTAGACAGATAACCCTACAGCGTGAACCCTGTTCACAGACAGACACATGCTACCTACAGCATTGGGACCTGCATTACCTGCTAAGTACTGTAGACCAGGTGAACACTTACATGAAGTTGTTGACCCCATCTGAGCAGGAGCCTCCATTCAGGCAGGGGGCGCTGTTGCACTCATTCACGTTGACCTCACAGCTGTCACCGGCGAATCCCTGGGCACAGGTGCAGGCGTAGGCCCCTGCCAGGTCCTCACAGACACCCCTGTTCAGGCACGGGTTCGACAGGCATTCGTCGATCTCCAGCTCACAGTGGGTCCCTTTCAATAAAAACACAAGTGCAAAATGCCATTTGGGTTGGTTCATATTATCGTTTGTCTTCTTATTAACGAAGACCTCAAAGTCTCCATTTTATCACATGCTGCCAACAGCAACATTAGCAGAAGAATGTTAGCAGATCTTGTACTGAGATGTGAATCAATCGCCTCTTTTTGATGTATGCACAACAGCCAAGAGCAGTCAAACTTCTCACGTGCGTCCATGAACGTTCTGTAACCAGTTACAGCCAGCTGGGTGGAGTCTATTTCTTACCTGTGAACCCAAGCGGGCAGCTGCAGACATACTGGTTGATCTCATCCACACAGTGGCCATCATTCAGGCAGGGAGAGGAGCTGCACTCATTGACCTCCACTTCACAGAGGGTGCCTAAGAACACCAGCAGGGCCATTAGCAAACCAGTACTGTCCATCCATGCATCATTAAAACGGTGGGCAAAAGCATCCATCCGCTTGTTAGCCAATCCGTGCCGAGGAGAAGGTAAGCCAAGTCAACCCTGTCATGTTGCATTAACATCTCAAAGATGTATGATGAGAAGGGAAAGGCTGTGAGGATCCCTATATGGACATACCTACATAGCCGGTCTGGCACTGGCACTGAAAGTCCCCTGTGCCATCTCTGCAGTGCCCGCCATTTTGGCAGGGGGCCGAGTCGCACTCATCAATGTCCTTCTCACATTTGGACCCTGCAAGGGAGAGAAGGTGTCATTCTCCTTACAAGGAGTGCCGCCCACCCTACTGCTTACGGGCCTTTCCAGTCCGAAGAGGTGAGCTCCCACTACACAGAGCTTCGCATTCTACGCCTTTCCTCAAGTCCTAATACATACGCAGGTTTACCCTCCGGAAAAATGTGTCAGTAACCCTGGATCATCACAGTTACCTGTGAATCCTGGAAGGCAGGAGCACACATATCCAATTCCCACCTCCTCGCACGTGCCCTCGTTCTGACAGGGATTAAGGAAGCACTCATGGAATAGCTGAAAAGGAAAGCACCGGTTATTCACGGTGATGGACTGCTGAGAATGCCTTATTAATCCAGCAAATACAATCCTTAAAGCGGGTTGTTTCACTGGTGCTCTACTGGTTATGTACCTAATATGTAATGTACAAGGTCTAAGAGCAGCTGACAGGATGTGACACACCTGGCTGCTGGCCTGGTAATTCTTATGGACTGCTTCCGGGGCAGAGGTCACGCTCAGCTCCTTGGGCAGGAAGCTGGATCCAAAGCCTAGGCAGAGGCACATGCTTGGAAGATGCTGAAGCTACTTTTGAGAAGAATGAGACTCAACTTCAAACAGGGGTCTGGGAATCAGGAGACTTATGGAACCTCATGGATTTTATGCTTTAACTGCCACAAGAGTTTGCATATGAAAGGTACTCTCCCAAATGAAGCAGGACATGCTGAAACGGGCTGAGAATTGTCGCGCCTTTCGTGTGGAAGGCTTTGGGAGACTCACTGGAGCAGTCATGAATGAACGCCGCCCCAGTCACACTGGTGGTCCCATAGAAGGGGCAGGACAGGCAGAAGGAACGCCCCTCCTCTGGCTGGTAGTAGTCCCGGGGGCAGGGGTAGCAGGGCGACAGGCCCGTGCGGGAGAAGTGTCCGGAAGAGCAGGGCACTGTCAGGAAACAAGCCGCAAGTGGCCAGTGACATGACCATATCGGACAGTGTCTGAATCTGCCTTTAATTTGAAGCAGGTAATAAAACTAGATAAAGGGGCAGAGCTATGGAAGTAAATCTGTGTCATCACAATTTGAATTTTATATGCCACTGAAATTCAAACATTGAATATTTATGCATTGGAAATATGCATCGGAAATTCGATGGTCCGAATTCACATGCAAAAAAACGATGTTAAAAATACGAGTTATACATGCGGGATACCAAGGCTAAGCAATCGAATCTGTGGCTGCGTTCGATTTGGGCTTATGTCTGTCTGCAGCTGACGTGACAAGAGCATCTGGCTGCGGCTGCAGGGATGCAGTGTAAACTGACTGCAGCCAAGTCGGACAGCTTCTACTCCTCATAGTGTGCGAGACCTGACTGCAATGGCCGCACTGTCAGAAGGGTGTAGATAAATCTATACAAATATCACCTGCATGCACATTACTCCTTTTACAAGAAGTTTTACTCTCCTAAACATGTATATATTTCCACTGTTGTATCATATTCCACATACACTAACTATTTATATTAGTACCTGTACATACTCTATGTATATATATTTATATATTAACCACCTCATCTCTCGAAGTCTGACACCAACCACCAAAGCAAATTCCTTGTATGTGTAAACGTACTTGGCAATAAACTCGATTCTGATTCTGATTCTGATACAATAACCAACTCCTCATCCAAACTGTTAGCAGTGGGAAAAAAAATAAACTATTGTGTATAGTGGCCTTGTGTAAAAAGATAGCTGCCAGGAAAAAGATCAAATACATGTTTTTATTGTCAAGTACTGAGTACAATGCAATTCTTACTTGAATGCCTTCTAATTATAGACTGTAACTAAGTTACTGGATGATTAAACAAATAAAGCAACGCAACATTACAGTAACTACAGTAACAATAAATAAACCAGTAACTTACGTGTACTTTTAGAGCATTTATGTAATTTATTTAAACTTTATTTTACCAGGTAAATTACCTGAAAACCAGTTCTCACTGCTTTACGTGATATTCAGGAGAAATGGCAGATAAAACGCAGCCACAGATTAGATTGCTTAGCCTTGGTATCCCGGATGTATAACTCGTATTTTTAACCTCGTATTTTTGCATGTGAATCCGGACCATCGAATTTCCGATGCATATTTCCAATGCATAAATAATCAATGTTAGAATTTCAGTGGCATATAAAATTCTAATTGTGATGACACAGATTTACTTCCATACAGTGCTGTCAGGAAGTGTCCGTCAGTCATGTTTTATTTCTCAGCCGATGTCATTTCCTGTAAACCCTCCCTGCCCCCCCGCCATTACTCACCTCCACACTCAGCCACATGTATGGCTCCCCGGTTCACCGTGGAGGTCTCTTCCGGACAGGGGAGGCAGAGCCGGGACCCGAACCCAGGCTGGTACTGGCCCAGCGGGCAGGACTCACAGGTCTCCAGCCCGCTGGCAGAGGAACTCCCTGGCTTGCACTGCTCTGCAACAAGGATGCGGGTTCAAGGGTCAACCCTGTCTCCAACGGCATGGTTAATGTCGACGAGCCGCGGGAAGCTGCTGGCTCTGTGTAAGCCCAGATGTGTCAGAAGCTCCCGGCCACAGTCTGAGGAGAGGGAGCTACAGAAGGTTACCTTTGCACTCGGACAGGCTGCGGGAGTGCAGATAGGGGGTGGAGGAGCCGTCGGGGCAGGGCGTGCACTCCGTCTGGCCCTCCAGGTCCTGGTAGGAGCCCCGCCAGCAGCTCTCACACACACCAAACTCCAGGGAGTAGTAGGTGCCAACTGGGCACAGGACTATGGAGCAGGAGAGAAGGGATCAGAACAGCTACAAGAAGGAAAGTCCCAGTGACAGGTCACCTTATATTCCACTTCCAGTGGCAGAAGGCTGGAAAACCCCTAACAGTTCACTACATCAGCACTCCTTGGTGTTTCGGATAAATTTCTTTCATTATATTTCAGCAAATAACAGCCCATATGTACTGAACACTCCCCCAGCACAGAGACTAACACACATTCTCTACATCAGCACAGTCTAACACACATCCCCTCCATCAGCACAGAGACTAAATCACATCCCCACCATCAACACAAAGACTAATACACATCATCTTCATCAGCACGGAGGCTAACACACATCCTCTCCCTTAGCACAGAGACTAACACACATCCTCTCCCTTAGCACAGAGACTAACACACATCCTCTCCCTTAGCACAGAGGCTAACACACATCCTCTCCCTTAGCACAGAGATGGACACACATCCCTTCCATCAACATAGAGACTAACACACATCCTTCCCATTAACATATGCAATGTAGCACAGAGACTAGCTCACCACACATCCTGTCTTTAAGCACAGAGCCAGGTCGGCAAAACAGCGAGGCTTTCTGGCTTTCCAGGGACTTGGGGTCGGCCACAATCATCTCAGAGTCCACGCGGAAGGTAGACAGTGGCTGTTTGCTGAGCGTCCTCTTCAGCCGATTGGTCAGATGCTCCAGGGTACGCAGAAGCCGCTTCTGATTGGCTGCCTCCAACGAGTTGTTTCTCCAGGCGGGCAGCGGGATGGTCGCTGGAGGGACACAGAAACATCTAGTCGGGGGTTTCAGTTGTCAGGCAGCAGGATGGCTGTGAGGGCCTCAGTGAGATTCTATATTATGTTGTTTGATAATAATGCAGAAATATCTATCCTCAGAGAGTAGAATGGCAATGCTGAAAAGGCTCAGGAAATCTTAAGAGAGCCAGGTTATGGTACTTCTGGGTGAAAGGGCTGCACAGTACCTGTGATGTTGAAGAAGATCTGGATTTTCTGGTCCCTGGTGGGTCCAACGAGCTTGCGGTGCCGCTTAGCCCTGTAGGGGGTGCTCTTCTGAGAGTGGGCAGTGTCATCCTGCTGGTAAGCGCTGGGTTTGCGATCGGTGACGAAGCCCATGTCAAGATACGAATAATCCTGCCCATCCTGGGGCCTCCAATTACCAGCCCATCCGCCTGGCCCTGGAACAGGAGTGCAGGGAGCTGAACGGCGCAGGGGAAGCCCCCACCCTCACGAGCTTCAGGCAGTCACTTCAATTAGCACAGTAGGTTGTTAGCGAGCTAATGAACAAACCGCAAACATCAAACCTTTCATCTGTTCAACTTCACAACATTTTCAAAAAAAATCCCAATTATCCTAAGTGTTCTGCATGACGGCGCTTGATAATAATGGATCTCAGAGAATACTCAGGTTTAATAACGGGCTTCAAAGGCCCAGCACACACACAATTAGAGTATGTATAAAAGGTTTAGTTAATCTGGCTCCCAGAAGCAAAGTAAGGCAGACTCTGGGGTCTAGTCTTACCAATGGCAAATCCGTTCTCATAATCATAGTTGTATTCCAGACACTGGCCCTGTGACATCATTTCGAGCTTGCAGGAGATATCATCTGAGTTGCAGAAGGCAGGCACCTGCAGCAACACACCAGGAACTGCCCGATTATACAAACACAAGAAGATCTGATGTTCTGCAGAGGAGATCAACATGTACATATTTCCCTCAAAACTCCCTTATAGGGTTTGAGCTGTGAAATGCAAACAAAGGAGTCAGCTATGATGTCATGGGGAAGCTGACCGGGCGGCCCGCCACCCCAGAGGTCCCCCGTGGTCCCCACAAAGTGTTCACTTACCATGTCCCCTAGTGTGCCGCTGAACTCCTTGCTAAAGGCCTTCAGCATGTTTGGGTCATCGCAACGGGAAGCTTTGAAGAGCATGTCGAAGGGTTTGAAACCATTGTTGGCGATCCGGTTCACTGGTGAAAGAGTTTCAGGCTACATCAAAGACGTTCTTAATAAGCAAAGTTCTACACACTGCTACTCATGCCAAGATGAATGTGTAAGATCGCCAGTGAATGACCGCCACTCACATGAGCAGTCGGGCTGGTTGGCCGTGTAGGCTGGGTCCCAGAGCCCGTTGTGGGCACAGAAGTAGCTCTTCACTCGCTGGTGGCTGAAGCTGTAGCCATCCTTGCAGTGGAGCGTGCAGTTGACGCCATCGTCTTCCTCCGTGCAGGAGAACTCCCCATTGACGGGCTGGAATGGCTGCTCGCACGTGGACCCTGGGTGGGAAGCGTGTACTGGTTTTACTGGGAATCTCTGATGATGACTCAGAGTGTTGGGTGGGGGGGGGGCTTAAATAATGCAGAATGAGCATTTGGATGCCATGAAAAGGGTTCCATCTTTGCATTCCTACACCCCAAAATGAGCCATTCCCCCACCCATCCCTTGGGGAAACACACCCTGGACGATGATGAGTAGGTCACATGTGCGGTTGTTTCCGGAGGGGTCCGTGGCCGTATAGTGCACCACCGTCTCCCCCGTGGGGAAGACAGAGCCGGGGCTGTGTGTGCTGGAGATGCTCAGGGTGGAGCCTGAAAGAGCCAGGAGAGGGCGCCGTTACGCACTGAGCCCGGCCTGTGTCAGCACCTTGACCGAAGCAGGATTGTCCAACCGCACTGCTCAGGTGGAAGGGAAACTGAGCCGAGCCCTTAATGAGAGGAAACTGGGTTTGGTTTCTGGTCTCTGAAGACAACTAGATGCTGTCAGACGGTCAGCCCCGTCACCCCCTTCCATCAGTTCTAGATCTTCACCCATACAATGCCTCTCCCAGGTTTAAGTTAACGAGAAACTGTCTGTGGCGGACCGGTCCCAAAACCAGATGTTCTCCCCATCTGGGGAATACAAGAACATAAGCGCCATTAAGGATAAACAGAGATAAACAGAAATACAATATCAAGGGCAGCGAGTTCAAATGCTAGAAACAAACACGCTGGAGTAATATTATCTATATAAATAGCTCTGAGAAAATGGAAATAGCTTTAATTGTTAATAAATGCAGATATTCCTAAAGAGGCCAGTATAAATGATCGTCACATGTGATGGCGTGATTCACATCAGCAGGTCACAGTGCTGTTAATAAACTCAGACATGTTGATATATGAAAACTGGTAGTTTGCTCTCTATGCGACACTATAATCATATCTGGGCCCTGCAGTGTAATTGCTGCCTTCTGGGGCTTTTAAACATAGATTGAGCGCGTACTTTGGTCTGGCTATGCGGCGAGGCGAGATTCCTGCGCGCCATGCAAGCGTCTGGCGGACCATGCCCGCCTGTCCTTCAGTCTGCGAAACATAATAGATCGCTGGGCGCAGCCCCGGAAAGTGAAAAGGGAGGGAAAAGTTTGTGTAATGTTTACACAACACGCCGCACGTCTCGTTTTATTTAAGGCCTGTCCACATAAACACCAAGATGTTCTCCCAGATTAGAGATGCCCTTTTCTGACACTACCGACGTCAAAGCGGCTTGGTGTTGTTTAACCATGGTACGGGCTCCCAGGGCGGGACCAGTGGATGACATAAGACCGATTAAGGTCTGGCAGGGTGCTCTGGAACCACCGTCCTGTCCATCAGCACGCAGACAGCTCCTTCAATGTCAAAGATGCTTCACCAATGTTCTTGAGAACATGCTTGTCCACTTTAATAGGTAGTTAACTGACTAAAGTAAAGGTAAAACACCATGTCACACATTTGATGGCCGGCTCCAGCGTCGAAGACGCTGAGCCGGTTCCTTATGGTTCTTCTCGGAAGCACAGCTCTCTGGGATTCTTCATATATGGCCTGAAACGGACGACCTCGGCCCCCGCGGGGGTGGCTACCTGAGTTGTCGGAAAACTGAGGCACCTCCCACACGACAACGAGCTGCTTCTCCGTGGTGTGGAAAGGGGGCGGGGATCTGCACCTGTCAATCATTGGTGGTTCCGTATCTAGGAAGACAATTTCACTGATGTTAAAAGCTGCAGGCTCCACATCCTTGGGGGGGGGGGGGTTGCAAAATAACAGAAACATCTAATGATATAGTAATATTGCAGATCTCATTAGGAGTGGGGTCACCCTTTGCCTTCAAACAGTTTCAAACCTTCTTGGACATGTTCTGTGTGATGGGCTACTGGACCAATTTTCAAGAAGGAAAGCCCCCAGTTCTTTGAGGTATGGAGGAACTGGGTATCCACTTCATACACTGTGCTACAGAACCTCTGATTTACAGCTGACACACATATTGCTAACTGGCATCCAACTTGACATGGCTCCCGATCAGAGCTCCGCTTGTCACTGTGATTTAGTGAGTGCTGGCAAGCCTAGAAAGGAACCCACCCATGACCGTGACGCCAAAGGAGCAGTTGGCCTGGTTTCCAGCTTGGTCCGTGGCTGTGTAGGTGACACGCTCCTCTCCGATGGGGAACATCTGAGGCTGGGTTAAGATGGGCATGACCTGAACCGTGACCTGGGCAGTTATGGATCGAGAGAGAAGGAGTTAGGAAGCTGCCACAGATACATAGAGGAAAAGAATGATCACAAAGGTGCCATTAACCATAGAATTAAAGCTACTGCACTCCTCACATGGAGATCGATCAGGAAAGAGAAGGTAGGATGGCTAGCTGGCATGGTCTGGCAGTAGGTGCTCTGAGCTTAAAGTGCCATTCATGGGAGAATTTATAAATTACGGCTCTGACACATCAGCCTGAAACCAACCGTCTCTGCATACTCAACATCTGCCGGCAGGAATATCAGCCAAATTCCCTGAAGACCAAACCCTGATCTTCTCTGTCACTGCAGACCCAAACCAAACCAGCTGTGAACCACTTCCCTCATTCTACTGCTGACCCAAACCAAACCATCTCTAAACCACATCCCTTGTCCTACTGCTAACCCAAATCAAACCCTCTCTAAACCACATTACTTGTCCTACTGCTAAGCTAAACCAAACCCTCTCTAAACCATGTCCTTAGTCCTACTGCTGACCCAAACCAAACCATCTGTAACCCATATCCCTTGTCCTACTGCTAATACAAACCAAACCCTCTCTAATCCATGTCCCCAGTCCTACTGCTGACCCAAACCAGACCATCTCTAAACCACATTACTTGTCCTACTGCTGACCTAAACCAAACCCTCTCTAAACCATGTCCTTAGTCCTACTGCTGACCCAAACCAAACCACGTCCTTCATCCTAAAGCCAACCCAAACCATCTACCACTTCCCTTGTGTTATAATCAATCCACGTTAAACCTAAGGTTCTCTGAACTTCTACCATACTACTAACAGGCAAGTAGCAGATCCTTCCCAGGCTCACTGCCCCTTACTCCTGGGACCCACCTCTTCCCCGGAGTTGTCCTGGACTCTTGGACTGGCCCAGCTGACGTTGGCTAAGGCTCGTCGTTCTATCGTCTCCACCACAACATCCGGGGGGCATGTGATCTGGGGAGGCTCCAGATCTGGGGGTGGGAAGGGAAACACAGCCACCCGGAGGGAGCTCTGACCAAAGTGGTGGAAGTTAACATGAGCTATTTGCTATGGCTAACCAGCTGCCCTGGCTCAGGAGCTCCCTCTGCTGATGGGGTCAGTACAATGCATCTGAGCACACACCCTATCCGACTTCCACAACTGAACACAGGGACCTGTATCAGGGCCACGAGTCACATTGCGTCCAGCTGAGTGTTCAGGATGAAGCACAATGCCATTGTTAGGATTCCCAGGGGTGGGTGGGTTGTGTAACAAAAGACGGGAATGCCAGGAATCCCCTATTTTCAAAGTATTGGAAATCCTAGCAGGGGACACCTCCCACTGGCCCTCCGTAGTCCCATTAAGATGTGGGGCAAATTAATAATTGGTAATACGAGCGGCTTGTCGTCAAACTGACACCACCATCACTGTCCTCAGCTCTGACCAGGACATGTCAGCACATGCTTGCAAAGCCACGCGTGTGGCTGAAGTTTGTGGAGGAGTTGGGTGAAGATGCTCTAGGGGGTGTGAGAGAGAGGCGAATAACCACAGGGCGCCAGCTGCACACATTACTGTACAGGGGCTGCTGGACAACATCCTATACAGGATATAGGTCCCTGTGTGGCCTGCAATGGCGTCCAGTCCTGGCTCTACCCCAGCACCATGCCCTGTGCTGCCTGGGATAGGCTCCAGCAACCCCCCCCCCCCCACCCCGGCCCTGATGAGGATAAGCTGTTAGAAGATGAATGGCTGTAGATTTGTCAATGTCATATGCAGAAGTCCAGGCAGGAGGTAAATTGCTTTCCCTTCTGAAAGAGAACACAGCCTTCTCTCTATGACACTGTGTGAAGTGCCTGGACAGTCAGCTGGTGCTGAGCACAGAGATATAACAGCAGGACTCCGCCCCTCTTCCAAATCGCCTGCCTCCATCAAACAGCGCAGCAGGTTTAAATCGCCAGCGCAGATGCTGGGTCTCCATTTTCTGGAGACCGTGGTATGGGAGCTGTGGGGGTGGGGGGTGCTCTTTGTTCCTTCCTTTCATTCATCACTGAAATAGGGTCACTGCAGACAGATGGACTTGGCAGGGACCCGAGTGCCCCGCCCCACTGGCCCACCTCCGATGCTCAGAGCAGGGCAGTGGCCAGCTGGGTACGGCTGCAGTGAAGCAGGCGTTCAACCGTAAACCAAAAGAGATCTACGGCAGTGTTTCCCAATCTGGTCCTCGGGAACCCACAGCTGGTCCACGTTTTTGCTCCCTCCATGCTCCCGGCAAAAACGTGGACTGTCTGTGGGTCCCTCAGGACCAGATTGGGAAACGCAGATCTAAGGCAAGAAGAGGCATTGCTGTTGTAGCTTAGTATGGAATTATCCTGAATTGTTTTAGAAAAACTGCCAATTGAGTAAAAGACCCCAGTTCTGAAATATATAAGCAGTGAATGATAAAATATATTACAATCATTTTCTGATGCTCTGAGTGAAGACCCCGTAGGATGTGACCTTACATTTGTTTTTATAAATAAGCCACTTTACCTCCAAAAAGACAGGTGAAATCCAGCTCTCTGCATGGGATATGGTGTACATAAAGCATATATAAAGGTTTACATTGAGAACAATGTGAAATCTGACTGTCAAACACCACGACACATATGCCCGTTACCTGCACAGGTCACTTTGTCGACGCTGGAGGTCCAGTCACCAGACTGAAGGCATGTCAACACAGGGTCGCCCCTGATGCCGTAACCTTGACGACAGGCCAGCCGGCACGCAGTACCGGGCTTTGCTTCCCTCTCCGTGCAGGTAGGGGGCGACAGCAGGGCATTTTTAGGCATCACCAACGGAGGACAGAGAATCTCTGTAAGGGGGGAAGTGAGACACTCTGGTGAGAATCCAGAAGAAACACTGCAGTGCACGTTCATCGCCTTTTAGGGTGGCAAAGAAACACAAGTGGTGACAAGGGAATTTTTACACTCTGACACAGAGCTAACAGAGCAAAACACTGTCACCTTCAGAAAGCATGTTCCCTGCGTGTATACATACATACAGCCTTTTAGTGAAATACTGCAGATCACCAGTGAAAGCACCAGCCTGCAGACATCATAGCTCTTAGTTCTTAGAGCATGTGAAGTAGTTCCTTCTGCTGGTTGTGGAACCTGGAAGGAACCTGGAGCAGTTTTTCTCAATCCGGTCCTGGGAGACCCGCATACAGTCCATGTTTTTGCTCCCTCCCGGGTAGAGAGCTTGGAGGATGCAAAAATATGGACCGGATGTGGGTCCGCGAGGACCGAATTGAGAAACACTGCTCCGGAGCAATGGAACTGAAGATGTGCTGATGTTACGGAGGAGGTCTGAGAGCGTTACAAACCCAGCGTCGCATTTTGGGCCGCAAGACTGCAGCAGCTGCAGGCACACATGCAGGCGTTCTCACAAACAGCTTGCGTGTCGGTGGCGGGGAGCCGATTCGGGCCGATAAACTGTAATGAGTGCCTTCCTCAGTGGCTGCAGACGTCTGCATGTCCCAAATAGAACGCTCTGAGTCATGTGAGGCTGCACGAAGGCGGCCAGAAGCTTGTGGGTCAGGGCACCTCTGGCCTTTTCCGCTCTGCCCTCATGTCTATGTGAAGATTTTCCTCTCTTGCTACTAGAGGGAATCACACCCTCTGCTGTGCATGTGTTTGCATGTAAGTGTCTGTACATGCATTTAGGTGTGTGACCATGATTTTTTTCTATATAATATGGTGGGGGGTGGTGGCTCAGCAGATGAGGACGCTGTGCTTGTGAACAGAAGGTTGCTGATTTCTCTGATTGGGCCTCTGAGCAAAGGCCTCTAACCCCGTGTTCCTGCAGGGACTGTCTGACTCTGCTTTCTCTTAAAAAAGTCACTCTAGATAAATGAGTCTATTGAAATAATTAACATGTAAGTGCATTACTCTTACCACCCCCCAGCTGTGCACGTGCGTGTGTGTGTGTGTGAGTGTGTGCATGGCTGTGTGTGGTTTAGGTTTAAATTACAATGTGGGGACCAAATGACTGCCAAAATGTAATAAAAACCTGTTTTTTGACATTGTGGGGACCATTTTTCAGGTCCCCACAAAGATCTGGCTAAAGTTAAGATTAGGGCTGGGTAGGGGTTAAGGTCGTCATGTTAAGATTAGAGTTTTCGCCATAAAAATTAATGGTGAGTCCCCACAAATATATGATTACAAACCTCTGTGTGTGTGTGTGTGTTTGCATAGATAACTTCTGGGGCCCAAAATGTGGTGAAACCTGAAAATTCCTTATTTTTGGGGACATTTTTCAGGTCCCCATTTGGATAACCTGAACTTTATAAAAATCCGTAAATGTAATCAAAAAACTAAAAATGACAAAAGTCTTGTATTTTAGGGCTATGTCCATTGTAAAGGTGGAGGGCTATGTCCATTGTAAAGGTGGAGGGCTATGTCCATTGTAAAGGTGGAGGGGTATGCCCATTGTAAATGTGGAGGGCTATGTCCATTGTAAAGGTGAAGGGCTATGTCCATTGTAAAGGTGGAGGGCTTTGTCCATTGTAAAGGTGGAGGGCTATGTCCATTGTAAATGTGGAGGGCTATGCCCATTGTAAAGGTGGAGGGGTATGCCCATTGTAAATGTGGAGGGCTATGTCCATTGTAAAGGTGAAGGGCTATGTCCATTGTAAAGGTGGAGGGGTATGCCCATTGTAAAGGTGGAGGGCTATGGCCATTGTAAAGGTGAAGGGCTATGCCCATTGTAAATGTGGAGGGCTATGTCCATTGTAAAGGTGGAGGGGTATGCCCATTGTAAAGGTGGAGGGCTATGGCCATTGTAAAGGTAGAGGGCTATGTCCATTGTAGGTAGAGGGCTATGCTCATTGTAAAGGTGGAGGGCTATGCCCATTGTGAAGGTGGAGGGGTATGCCCATTGTAAAGGTGGAGGGCTATGTCCATTGTAAAGGTGGAGGGCTATGCCCATTGTAAATGTGGAGGGCTATGTCCATTGTAAAGGTGGAGGGCTATGGCCATTGTAAAGGTGAAGGGCTATGCTCATTGTAAAGGTGGAGGGCTATGCCCATTGTGAAAGTGGAGGGGTATGTCAATTGTAAGGGTGTTTTATCATGTTTTCTCTGATTTTAATGTTATGTTTCTCTATTTTTGATGTAATTTCTTCTATAATTAGGAGGATTTGTAAACAGTCTGTGACTTGCAGTCTGAAGTTTCGTATAGTAAATGTTCATGTGATGGACAGCAGACCCCCCCACAAGCAGGGGTGCGGCCCTGAAGCAGGCTTACCCACACACCGAGGGGGGGGCCCGCTCCACCGGGAGTTGGCCTGACATATCAGCCTGGCGGCGCCCTCCAGCCGGTAGCCATCGGCGCAGCGCACTGTGCACGTCGACCTGTAGGGGGCACTGCCCTGCGAGCAGTTGAGGTGTCCGTGTGGAGGTGGCTGGAGGGCTGGACACTTGCGTGCTGTGGGCGGGTGCGTGGAGACAGAGCAGGGAAACGACACGAGACAGAAATTACTGACGGAATGACGCACAGCAATCTCAACGCAATGCCAAGGCAGCAGCCTCGGTCAGTATCCCGGAATAACCTTGGATCCCAGCCACTGTGCTGGTTCTGCTTCTTTTAATGGGAATTTTCTTGTATTTTGCCATACGATAGAATCCCAGATACGCTCATCAGGTCAGGTGCTAGTAAATGAGCTCAGTATGCAACATAATCTAGTTAAGTTCTTTTTTACTGTGATCATTTGTTGGCCTAACTAACTTAGCTGTAACAATCTGCAACTAAGAATGATATTTTTCCTACATATCTGAGTATAAAATAATACGTCATGCACAGGTCATTCGTCTTCTTTAGGGAGGAATAGCCTCGTTCAGGATAAAGCGGATCCCGCTTGACTCCTCACAGCGGGAAGCATATGCTTCCCAGGCAGAGACAGGCAGGTCAATGAAATGGCGATTGCTGGCTGAGAGACCGAAATGCTCTGGGCTGATTTCACACTCAGCTGGGCTTTTTTGCTCCATAAAAGATGTGTTTGAGGAAAAAGAGGAAAGCCGATCGCGGGGAGGAATAGGGAGGCGGGAGAAGGTCTCTGCTGGCCAGCGGGAAAGAGCAGGCCTATAATTAAAGCCAAAATTACAGGCCAGGACAGGCGAATCCTGAAAGGCACAAGTGCGGCAGGCTGGATCTGCAGCAAGAGGCCTCCCCAAAATGCGGGGGGCAGAGAGCTGGAGCAGGTGCCTGAGAGAGCCTGGGGGTGTGAGGGGGAGGGTGTGTGTGTGAGGGCCTGGGTGTGAAGGTGTGAGGGTATGTGTGGGAATGAGGGTGTGTGTGTGTGTGTGTGTGTGTGTGAAGGTGTTGTGTGCGTGAAGTGTGAGGGTGTGTGTGGGTGTGAGGATGTGTGTGTGCATGTGAGTGTGAAGGTGTGAGTGTGTGAAGTGTGAGACTGTGTGTATGCATGTGTGAGTGTGAAGGTGTGGGTGTGTGTGCGTGAGGGTGTGCTTAATGAGAAAATGATGCAAAATGAAAACACGATGGCAAATGGAGAAAGAAGGATAGGAGGAGAGAGAGGGGAAAAGCAGCAGGAGAGGTGAACAAAGGAGGGAAAGGATAGAGTAAATGGAGAGGGAGGGGGCAAAAGGGGCAAATTTGATTAAAAGTGGTGGGGATAAAGAAAGAAGTGTGGATAGAGGGTAGAGTAATGAGAGAGCGATTGAGAGTGAGTGAGAGTGAGTGAGAGTGAGTATGTGTGCGCGGGGCAGGGGGAGCAGGGGGGGGGGTGTCTGGCTCTCGCCGGCGGCTGGCATGTGGCCCCATGGCCCTCAGGCCCTGTTTACTCCCCGTCCGACATAATAACATCTGAAAGCAATCCTCGAACCTGGGCCAGGTGGCGGGGAGGGGCGGGCTCGGGCTTTACGAGCGCTTTTATAACGATGCGTGAGGGGGAGAACACGGCAAGGCGCTGTAGCCAGCAAATGTTTACCTTTGTACTTAGCGTTTGGGAGAGCGGCCGGGCGCTGCGCTTTGAAGGGCCGCCCATTGTATCACAATAAAAGCTCCATAAATGCCACATGTCTGGCACGGCCCGCCCTGCCAGCGCGGAGTCTGACGGGCTCCGATCCCGCATCTCACCCGTGCAGCTGGGCTCCGAGCCGGACCATTGGCCATCGGGCTGGCACAGGCGGATGCCGCTGCCCAGCAGGCTGAAGCCGGCTCTACAGCGCACCCCGCAGGCAGCGTCGAAGTGGTTATTGCAGACGTTCTGGATGAAGTGGCCATTCGCCGGGGGGAGGAGCGGCGGACAGCGGACCACTGAGGGGGGAAAGAACCGGGGTGGGGGGGCTGAGATACAGAGGTAGAAGGCACAAACACACACACGCAGACACACACTGACACACACCCAATCACAAGCAAACAGCATGCAAACATACATGTACATATATGTGAACGTGTCGCAACCACACTTCAAATGACACACAGACACAAATTACCCACAAACACATACAAACAACACTCACAGACACACAGGCACGCAAATACACACACAGACACAGACACACACACACACACACAGACACACACACACAGACACACACAC